GGCACATACCCAGTGAGCTACCTCCACTAAGTAGAACCTACTTCTTAAAGTTTCCATCACCTTCCTCTAGTCCATAAAGTTATGAATCCATAAGTGGATTAGTCTAGTCCTGAGGTCAGAGCCCTCATGATCCAATACTTCCCAAAGACCAACGCCTTGAAGACCAAGCCTTCAATATACGGGCTTTTGGGGGCACACTTAAGATCCAAACCGTAACAGCCTCCACACATACTGAGGTCTTCATCCCTAGAACTTGTGACTGCCAGTGGGGGTGGACAAAGGGTGTTTGCAGAAGTAATCAGTGAAGGACCTTGCAATGGGGGATTCGCCTTGATTACCACATGTGCCCTGTGTGATCAAAAGTGTCCTTCTAAGAGGGAACTTTGGATGCAGGCAGAAGGCAGTGTGCTGGCTGAAGCAGGAAGCTCTGGTGCTGGCTTTGAAGGTGGAGTGCAGGTCAAGGGGTACAAAAAATGTTACACCAGAAGCAGGAAGAGGCAAGGAACGGATTCTTCACGGGAGCCTCTGAGTGACCACGACACTGTCAGCACCTGGATTCCAGCCCAGTGAAACTGATTTTAGACTTTGGATGCACAGGATTATAAGAGGATAACTGTATGCTGCTTTAAGCCGCTTAATTTGTTACAGAAGCAATAGAAGACAATTATACTTTCTAACCCTGAGTATGAGAACAAGTGAATTAATCTCTGATCTTACTCCTTACCCTCACCTCCTTCCTGAGATCCGCCTCACCCTGAAATGAAGTTCTTGTACCTCTGCTGTCGGAAAAAGAAGAGGGAGATGGGAGGGAGGTACTGGGGAGGCAAGGATGATGCTCATGTGTCAGTCATCTTTTTGGAGTTCCAGCAGAAGGGCAGCTGGGGTTCCCAGGGGGACAAACCCCAGATAGACAATGGGCAGAGAAAAGTCTGAAAGCATGGGAGATACCAAGACTAAATTCCTAGAGTCTTTCTACTATCAATATTTTAGTTTGGTCTTGAATCCATTTTCCCTTCTCTGGTTTTGGGGAAATCCAGCTCATCCCTCCCCTCCCCTCTATCAGGAACTAGGAATGTGACTCAATGGGACCCTCAATTAAAGGGTCCTCTGGGAGAGGGCGGTTTCTCATAATGGATCAGTACCAGGATTTCCCGGGAGAATTGTTAAATCATGGATCGCTGGGGTTGCCCTGCTGAGTTTCTGATGCAGCAATTTACCTTGAGAATCTGTGTCCCAAATGATTTTCAGGTGTGGCTGACTCAGAGCCCACACTTGCGGAATCTTTGTCTGGATATTTGAATCTCAGAAGAAGGAAAGCCAGGCAGTGAGCTCATCCTATGGAGATGGTTTATGAGTTTCTGTTCCTGGTTCGTGGAATCCATGAATTTGACCTAGTTCTTGACATTCTTTTTTTTTTTTTTCTTTTTTCTTTTTTCCGGTACCGGGGATCAAACTCACGACTGCCTGCTTGCAAGGCAGGTACTTATGCTGCTGAGCTAAATCCCCAGCCCCCAGTTCTTGACATTCTATGAGTCTGGTTATTTCCCTTTCAGTTTCGCTTTGTGAGTCATCCCTCAAGTTCTGTTCCTTTTCCTTTAGGTAGCATGATTTTGTTTCTATTGCTTGCAACCCGAGAATTTGACTGGATTAAGCTTGCAAAGCTTGATATGAATGCCAGATTTGCAGAGCCCAAGTTCCACGTAAACTTTTATCTCCCAAGACTCAGTACGGATAGTACCCATCATTTCCTGACTGCCTACTGGGTGCTTTATGGATGCTAGGACTTCAGAGGCACTTCCTCAGCCTTCCTCAAGGAATATATTTTTATTTTTATCTGACGAAATGGAGGCCCAGGAATTTACTATCAGAAATACGGGAAGATACAGAATGGGAAGCATCACTGAGGAAAGGACATACTTTTCTTCCTCTTGGCCTGTTTCTTTCTCTGTTTTCCCCATCTGCTCTGAGTGACTAATGGCCCCACAGGCTGTCTGGCCTGTCCCTGTAAATTTTTTTTTTTTTATTGGTACCGGGGATCGAACTCACAACTGGCTGTTTGCAAGGCAGGCGCTTATGCCGCTGAGCTAAATCCCCAGCCCCTGTCCCTGTAAAATTTTAAAATATTTTTTTCTTATTGAGACAGGGTCTCTCTGCAGTTCAGGCTGGTCTTGAGCTCACTTTGTAGCCCATGCTGGTCTTGAACTTGCAATGATCCTTGTGCCTCTGCCTCCAGAGTGTTGGGATTATACGCATGTGCCACCTAAAAATTCTTCTAAAGGGGGTAAGAGGAAGTGCTGCACTTGATCAGCATAATTTGGTGTTTGAAAATTTGCAGTTTATCCTGTGATTTAAGTATCTGATGTCTCACAAATTCTGGAGATATCAGCAGAACCATACTTGGCTTTTTTGACTTGTAAGTACTAAAGCAAGTTTGAGTAACCCTTGGGCTCCACATGAGGGAATATTGGATGAAGCAGGTTAGCTGGATGTTTGCAGGGGAAGATAGCTCATCATTCATATTTCTAAGAGTATCTAATTGGCCGCAGACAATAAATAGCGCGTCATAGTTCTGTGCTATGGCCTGGCTGAGGGACTTGATGGCCACAAGGTGATCAGGAACATGAGTGACCCAAGATAGAGCTGCCGCCACAGATGCTTCATGGAGCACTTCAAGTTGACCAGGACATCATCTGAGAGGTAGCTGTGAACATTTTCTAGCTTTGTCCTTGCCAAGTGACATGCCTGAGGTCTCCATGGATAGGGGGTTTTTAAGTTTGTGAAGAAAACAATGGAAACACATCTGCACCAAGAGGAAACAAGAAGAGCAGAACCATCTAGAAATATAGGAGAAAAGCAGCAGCCCCTTCCTGTTCTATGCATAAGAAAACCTGTGTAGGTTTTGTTTTAGAATGGCTGTAGCAACTGGCTTTCTGCATAGCCCTGACAATTCCTCCATTAGCTATACAGTATGTATGTTGTTTTTTGCACCAGGGTCTTTCCACTGACCTCGGTATGGGAGGAACCAATATTTATAACAAGCCTGGGGATGGGAAGTTGTTAAAACTCCAAGTCTAACCTTTCCCCAACAAGTGAAGCGAGCCAGTGGGTAAATGATCCCCTCCTCCAGATCCTGGAAAACACTCTTGAGGTGTGCCTGTTAAGGCTTCTTAGAAGGTCTTCACTGGGATGAAATCTAAATTGCCTACAGCAAGTCAATGCAAGAATGCATCGGTGTGTGGCACACACAGGTAATCTACCTACTCTGGCGGTTGAGGCAGGGGGATTGACTGTTTAAAGCCAGTTTGGGAAATTTCTCAAAGAATGCTTTTTGGATTAGCTGTCCTTACTAATCCACTCTTTCTTCTCAGTGCTCCTTGAGTCACTTTTCCAAATAAACAAGCTGTCTGCAAGCTCAGGGCTCAGGATCTGCTTTCTGGGGGAATCCTAGCTAGGATAACACTAATTGTAGAAAATTAAGAATACAGATAAAGAAAAAGAACACTAAAATCATCTTTAATCCTGCTTTTCCTATTGAATTCTGCTGGGATTTGAGTGTCAACGCACTCATAAGTAAAAACCATAGTGGGAATCATGCAATATTGCTATGGTTTGGATACATTTTGAGCACGTCCTCCGACAGAAGCTGCATGAGTTGAAATGAGTTAGGTGTTACAAGGGTGGAAACTTAATGGACTATGGTGGTTGGGAGGCCTTTGGGAGGTGATTAGGATTAAAGTCCCCAGGGCAGAACCTCCATGGTGGTGGTTTTATAAGACAGACAGGGAACAGAAGTCACACATAGACATATCTGTTTCCTGTCTCTTGCCATGTGTCACTGGGTACCACCTTGAGACTCTGTCAGCAAGAACACCATCCCCAGCTGTGGCCCCTCCACGTTTCACCTTCCAAACCATGAGCCAAAATAAATCTCCTATCCTTAAACTTCAGCAGTCTGTGGTAATACTATTAGCAACAGAAAACAAACCAGTATATGTTATTTGGCATATATCCTGCTTTTTTTACTTGCTATACTGTAAAAATAGTTTCATAATTAAATTTTCTTAGGGGCTGGGGATTTAGCTTAGTGGCATAAGCACCTGTCTTGCAAGCAGGCGGTCAGGAGTTCGATCCCCAGTACTGATAAAAAGTTAAAAAAAATAGGCAAAAAAAATTTTCTTGTCCAATATATTTAGAGGTGCATATTTGATTTACTTATCATGAGGCGTGATTGAAAAATATGGTGAATGTTTAATTTTCTAAAAGATTTATGGCAGTGATAAACACATTGCCATTAATCTCCTCTCAAAATACTCCCCTTTTTTGAACAAACAAACTTATCTCATCATTCTTGCTACCTTCTGAAGCAGTTCTGCAAGTCCTCTTTCGTGAGTGTCTTCAGTTGAACTGCTGTGGTTGGCTTGGTGTCTTTAACCGATTCAAAACATGACTTTTCCTGTACTTTCTAGGAACCAAAAGTTATACCTTGCAAATATGGTGAACGAGATGAATGTGGACACATTGTGATTATTTTAAGCGCTGTTTTCCTATTGTATAGCACCAGACAGCAGCATTCACTGGATTTTTGTTTTTTTTGAACCGGCGATTGAACTCAAGACCTTGCGCTTGGCCGGCAGGCAGGCGCTGTGCCGATGAGCCTTTATTCACTGTATTTTAAAAAAAGCACACTTTGTGTCACACTCAGGAAAGAGATTTCCAGGACTGCTTCTGAAAGTGGCAAGAATGGGCACGTGTGTTCAAAGTGAGGGGAAGTATTTTGAAGGACACTCACGGCAACGGGACTTTTACGGTAATAATTTTTAAAAATTTAAACACTCACCATATTTTTCGATCAGCGCATGTTTGTTGAATGAAGGAGCGTCTGTGCAAACCCACACACAGCAAAGCGGAGCAGCGCCGGGTGCGGATTCCCGCATCCGCAGGCAGCCGAGGGGCGGGGCGGGGGGCGTGGCCGTCAGCCCGGAACCCCAGAACGCTACCCCCGCGGTTTCCGGTCGCGGCGGACGGTTCCCGCGGAGGGACTGTCCCGTGGCACCGGCGGGCTGAGGAGGGCACTGAGGCCCCGGAGCGGCGACAATGGACGAGCACAGCCTGGAGGAGTTCCGTCGGCACTGGCAGGAGGAGCTGGCCCAGGCCCAGGCGCTGAGGAAACTGCGGCGGCAGCGAAGGGCCGAGGAGGCGGTCGGGCGCGGCGAGCAGGCCTCCGGGTACCTGGCGCTGGCCCAGGGCCTCCTGGAGGGCGCGGGGCGGCCCCCGGCGGCGCGGGCCACCCCGGCGGTGAGGCCGGAAGCTGCGAGCTGCTCCCACTCTCCTCCGGTCCTGGAAGGCGCGGGGGGCGGGGAGCAGCTGGTGGACCAGCTCATCCGCGACCTGGTGAGTGGCGGTCCCCTGCTGCCGAGCCCGGGCCGGCCCCCGCCCCCAGAATGAACCCCTCAGTGACCTGGAAAGTAACTTTCTCTGCGGTGCCATGGCGGGGGCGAGGTGGAGGGATGGATAGAGACACACACACCCATGTTTGCGTGCGCATCAGGGTCCCGACAGACTGCTTTTCAACCGGGGGCTGTTTTATCCCCCTGATTTGGCAGCGTCTGCAGAGATTTTGGGTGACTCAGTGGGTGTGTGTGCATACGGTCGCGAGCTGTTGGGCAAACAGGAGTCTAGAGATACTCGAGAGCATCCTACAGGACAGACCTACAAAAAATTACCGACTCCAATGTCAATAAGTATGAGATTGGATAATCCTGTTCTAGAAGGACACCTAAACTTTTTAACAAAGGTTGTTTTTGCAGAAGAGAACCCAGGCAATGGATACGAAGAAATTTAACTTTTCTCTGTATGCTGTGTGTATTAGTTTTTCTGTTTGCATGTAATCAAAAAATAAAGCAGAGGGAGCAAAAACTTTGACTGTTTTGGGAGAGTAGCCTTAGGATGGATAGTTCTTATCTTTTACAGATCTTCTAGAGGAAGTTGGAGGCCTGCTCCATAAAAATAACCCCCTTCATTAAGTGAGAAGAATCGACATTACTTGATAGGATCCATGACTCCCAGATTAAGAAGTAGGAAAGGAAAAAAAAAAAAAAAGAATTAGGAGAGGACAGCAGACATAATGATTTGATTTTAACTAGGCTTAAAGAAAATGTCTATAGCTTTCCGATTGGGGAAAATTCTGAATGTTGTTTCAAGAAGTAATGACTCATTATATAGTGTATAGTTTTTTCAAATAGTATTAATAGCTTCAAATTGAGTTATTTGTTACATGCCTTGTCCTGTTCTGTCTTAGTTCTATCACAACTGTCCTGTGTGGTCAATGTTAATTTTCTTTTTACAAATGAACCGACTTAGAAAAAGTTTTTTTGTGATTTGCCTAGTGTTATCCAGCTGATAACACTGGGCATTGAATTACTGAATTTTAATCCAGACTTCTTTTATTCCCCTCTTTGAGATACGGTCTTCTTATGTTGACTAGGCGGGCCTCAAACTGAAGATCCTCCTGCTTCAGCCTCTGAAGTAGGTGAGATTATAGGCACATACCACATGCTTAGTTTAGGTCATCTGAACTTTGAGTTTCATCAAGTGAAACTTGAGTTGGCATAAAATCACCAGAAACCTTTTTGAAATACAGGTTCTGGGTCTTCCCCAGATCTGCTGAATCAATTACTTGACAGAATGCAGCCAGGTGTTTGGAAATTGAGATGTTGTTCTTTACTGTATTCCTTGGGACCTTGAATCCTGATCCTCGAGGTTTTTTAGCAGTAACACTGGGGCATTGATAACCTAAAACAGTGGAGAGGTATGTAAATATTCTAAAAATAAAGCTCTAGGGGAGGATCGAGGGGCACAGCAAGTCTAAGTTTTACCTGTATAGTAGTTGGAAAAAGCCTGTCCTGTCTGCCTGGAATTCGTATTGCTAGGTTCCTATGCTGCTTTCAGAATTGTCACTTGGTACTGCTATGTTCTTCTACCGTGAGCACTACCCAACCTTGGGCCACTTCTAATTTGTAGTCAGGCTGGGTGTGGAGGCTCATACCTGTAATCACAGAGTTTGAGAGGCTGAGGCAGGAAGATCACAAGTTTAACGACAGCCTCGACTTCATAGTGAGACCCTAATTTAAAAACCACACTTTCATCCCCCTCTCTCTGTTAACCCAGACTCTTTAGAGATAGTGAGCCAGCTGAATATTGTTACACATATTTCTTTCTTTAGTTGGTGGTTGTGATCCACAATTAGTTGGTCCCATTTTTTATTCTGATCTCCAGGCTGCAGAGTGGCAAGCACCCTACACAAACTGGCTTAAAATATCCAAGTTGGAATCTGTTAATTCATGTGATGAAAATTCCAAATGCTGGTACTTGTTTGGGTGCTTACTGAGTGTAACTGGAAGTCTCTTAGACCTGACTTCCTTTTGTTGTCTCCGTTCACAGCAGGATCCCCTTGGGGACAAAATAGCTACCAACAACAGCCATCTGATGTTCTGTCAACTAAGCAACTCAGGAGAAAGAGAATGAGCCTGTGCTTTGTGCAGCTAACCTTGGGAACCTGAGCTCTTACTGGTCCACACTAGGTCATGTGACTGATTTTGAGTCAGGTTGTCCACACTTGTAGCCAGTTTCCACTCCTGAAGAGAAGTGTGGGGTATGCTTCTCCTAAGCCATGTTGAATAGAAGTCAGAGTAGAAAGGTTTGCTAAAAGGAGAAAGTAGATATTGAACAGGAAATAGCTGCACTGTGGGTGTCCACTCTAGGTGGCTGTTTGAAGCTTCACAAACTGGGAATACATTTGCTGTTCATTCAGCATATACTGTGTATGTTTACTGATGAGTGAGGTGTTGGGGAACCTGCAGTGAATAGAATGGATATAGTTTCTGTCCTGAGAGAGTCTCTTGTTTCTTTTATCTGAAAGAATGACATTCATAGAAAAAGGAAGCCTTTGTTACAGTCCTGGGTTCTGGAGTTGATAGCCACAGTGCTGCTAACTAGTTCTCTCCTGTGTGGTGAACTTTTGTGTTGGCTTACCTGGGATGGCTTCCCTTCCTCTTTGCTGTTCTTTGCCGTCCTTGGAACATTTAGCTTAAATTCCATCTGCTATGTTAATTCTTCTTCTCTCCAGTCCAATTTTTCTTCCCCTAAATAAAAAGTCTTTATTGTCAGTGCCATGGATTTTTTCATATTCATGAATTAGCAGGCCTTTGCTTGGGTGCGTTTTGAAATGATCACTGTGAATGCATATTAGAAAAGCTTGTTGTTTAGGTTATATCTTCACTAGAAGTTCTGCTGCTTGAAGCCACTGGGCTTCATTCATTTATTCCACAGTGTTCATTAAGTGGCTTCTTAGTACTTGGCACTCCTCTGGCCACTGAGAATACAGCAGTGAACAAGACGGAAAAAAATCTGTGCTCCTTTTGTAGCTTACATTCTGGGGAAGAGGGAGCTAGACAATGGACATATAATTGCCAGATAACAAATAGTCTGGAGAAAAAGCAGGTAGGAGGGATAGAGTGTGCCTGTGTCATGGGAGGCTGCAGTTTTCAGTAGTGCTATCCAGCAAGGCCTTTCTGAGCTGGTCACATTTCAGGGAAGGGGGAGGGGACTCCCTACAGAGAATAGCACATGCAAAGATTCCAGGGTAGTCAAGGCCAGCAGCCTGTAGGCATGCAACCCGAGGGGTGACACACTCCCCATGCTCACAAGGACCCTCAACTTGCTTTTATGTTGTACTGTTGTCTTGAAATTCTTAATTATTGCTGGGCATGGTGGCTCATGCCTGTAATCCCAGCATTCAGAAGGCTGAGGCAGAAGGGATAGTTGCAAGTTCGAGACCAGCCTGGGCAACAAAGTGAACTCAAGTTCAGTCTGAACTGCGTAGCAAGACCCTGTCTCAAAAAGATAGGGGAAAAAAAAAAAAAAAGGAATTCTTAATTATTTTTGGCCAAGGGCCCCCCCCCACTGGACCCTACAAATTACATAACGAATCCTGATGGTGGGATTGTACTTGGAGTATTTGGAGCTTTTAGCCAAACAAATCCACCCCCATGCATAGCATAGTACCCCCTCTGGAACCTGAAGCTTCTGACCAGTTAGGATCACCTCTTCCCTAGCTGTCCTTGATCCTGTGTGGACTTTGGAAGAAGTCCAGCCTGTTTTGTTCCACACACACTGACCTTCTTCACGGCCATACCCAGCCTCCTGAGCTCCCCCAGCACTAGTTGCCCTAGACCAGTGTGGTGAACCCATAGCATGCATGCTACAGTGTGCTGTTTGTATCATCGAAAGCTCTAAAAGGTTCACATCACTGCCTTATTCCTTTAATTAGGCATTTTCTACCTCCTTCCCTTGCCTAAGTCATACCAGTAGGTGGTGAGTGAGAATTTGTTTCAAAATTGGAAAGCCTACTCCTATAAACAAAGATTTTAGACAACAGAAGCTGGGTATGGTGGTACACACCTGTGAATGTATAATGCCAGCTCTTTGGAAGGCTGAGAAAGGAGAATCACATGTTCAAAGACAATTTAGCAAGGCCCTGAGTCAGAATAGAAAATAAAAAGGATTAGGATTGTATAAGTAACTCAGCACTCTCCAGGTTCTCTCTTCAGTACCACACCAATAAATAAATAAATAAATAAATAAATAAAGTAAGTCAAATCCTGTGAACATTTATTATACATCTATCATACTGTGTGCAAGGCGGTGGACTCATTAGATTTTGTAGTGTTGCAGTCCAGCCATATCATCTGTGTGTGCTATCAACAAATATGTATTGAATACCTTTTGCTCTTATAGCTAGACCCTGGGCCGAGGTTCAATGTTAAGAGATAAATTGGCTTTTTGTTTAATCCTTTGGAGCTTAACCTCTCTTTGAAGTATTGTTTCTTTGGAGAAATGATTTCCAAGTTCTAAATAGCTGATTTACTAATGAACTGTGGAATACCTTAGGGACTGATCTATATTGCTTCTTCTAGTCTCCTGTATTTATTCTGTTTTACGTGAGAATGAGTTATCTCTCTAAAAGATTTTAGCTCTTTGGATGTAGATGCCTTGTCTTACACATTTGCTAATAACATCTGCCCTTCCCCCAGCACTGGGCATGGCCTTGAATCAGACAGTGTTTCCAGCATAAATCATCTTATTTTTAAAATGTGCTGTGTGCTTACTATAGAACTATTTAAGAAATTTAGAATAAAAAACAGAAATCTCCCATAACGGTATTGCCCAGAGGCTACCATTGTTCACATTCCTGATACTCATTTTCGTGTGCACATAAAAATATGAGTTTTGAGACAAAATTGGTGTCAGACTCACTCCTCCCCCGATCAACCAATTCTTTGCCCTCAGAGAACATACAGGTGAAACTGGAACCCCACTGTTCCTTCTGATTG